TTCATCACTTATATCCCTACTTGTACCTTCATGTATTATTGCAATTATTTTTCAAATATTTTGTGCCGTTTTACATGTAGAGACCTTATCAAACTCAATTATATCTAGAGCACAAAATAAGATATTCATAATTTTTGCATTAATTATAAAATCTTTCTTATCATTTCATCCTAATCCTTTTTATCTTTAGCAATAACTACATTATCTTTAGCTATCATGGAGTGTTATATCCTTCTTCAATCACATTCCAAATATCATACTTCATTTGTTGAAAATAAATAATCATCCTAATTTTCAATAATCATAGTCACTTCTATTAAAGAAAGGTTGTTTAGTAATAGATTGACTCTCCATAACTCCATGTGCACCAATGATTACCATAATATGTGATTTTATTCTAAAGATTTGTTAAGGTCAATATTTAGAATCTAGCTCTAATACTAATTGTTGTCCCAAAAAGGCAATCCAAGAGGGGCTGAATTGAGTTTTTATCGCGGAAGCTAAGAGTGTAAAAAATTAAAAGTGATAATAAAAATATTGAATCAAATAAACTTATACAATTCACCCAACAATAAATATAAAATAATTTTAAGTAAAGTAAAGAGAATAAAGATAGGAGATGCAAACTCTTTTATAGTGGTTCGACTTGCTACCCAAGTCTACGTCCACTCTCTCGAGCTCCAACTAGCCGAGATTCCACTAATTCCCTTGCACTTGATGGAGGCAAGAAATCCGAGTACAAACAAAATCCCTTACACTTGGCGGAGGCAAGAAATCCCGATTACAAAGTCTTTGATTCAGTAAGCTTTAAATACTAATACAAATAGTAATAAAGATGAAGTAGAAATGTAGCAATTCTTCTTAAGTATGATTAGCTACCACTCATGTACAAAAAATAATCTCACTTAAAAGAGGTACTTTTAAGAATAAAACAATTTGCTCTATACACTTTTTAATCTAGTAATAAATAATATAGCACAAAGAATTTTAAAGAGAAATTGATGAGATTTTGAGAGCTTGTTGTTGTGCATTTCTCCTTTCAATCTATGCTCCTTTTATAGTCAAAAACACCAAAGAGACATTGGAGAGATGTTAGCTTTTGTGGAAGACAAAATCATTTGTCAATAGTAACTGCACATTGACTCGTTTCAAAAATTCAAGCAAAATGGTTTCAAACGTTCAAAAAATCTTAAAATATTCTTGAATACTATCCAATGAGTCTATTTTCAAATACAAAAAGAATCATTAAATTATCATACGCTGTTTGAGAGAAATGATCAAAAGTTCAACAACATATCAAACTGTAAAATTGCTTTTGACAAAAATTATTGGCAAAGTTTAAAATTATCTAGAAATTTGAATTTGTATTCAAAAATAACAAATTATATATTTTGAAAAGACTATAGTGTCTACTTTCATTCAAAATTTGATTTATACAAATTTGATTTTTATATTTTGAGATATGATAAAAATACTGTGATATACTTATTTTGTCTACTGACAATGTGACTCAGCAAAATCGTCCAATTTGAAAAATTATACATATCAATCTATAAGTGTAAAATGTGCATGTAATATATGCATTTGAAGCTCAGTACGTATACTTTATAAATAAAATCAATTCAAGATTGATTTTATTTATATCATAAATTATAGTTTATTATTTAAAACTAATATCATGTAGATTTCAACATTGACTTCTTCAGAAGACAATATATGAAATTAAATAAAAAAACTACTTTGATATAAAAGAGTATATGAGATAAATTATACATCAAAATAAATGTATTTGAGTATAGTTTCATATAAAATTAACATTGCTATTTTTGAAATTTTATATAATAAAATATGATCCATTTACTACATACATGTCTAATTTGACAATTTCACTTTGTAGCACATGTAGTGTATGTATCTCTAAATAATAAACTCAACAATATAATTTTTCTATATTATCCATTATATAAAATATATATAATAATTTTAATTTATTTTGTCATTTTCAAAATAAATATGAAACATTGAGATTAACAAATCGAACAAAAACAAAACCTGAAACAATGGTGATGCTTGCAGTAGTGATAGAGAAGGTGACGGAAATTGGCAACTGTATATTGACAATTTCTCCCAAAACCAGAGGTGATTAGGCGAAATTGAATAAAGAACCTCATTCTAATGACTTATATTGATGTGATTATGCATTTAATTTGATATCAAACTGTGTAAATCTAGAAGATTTGATAGGATTGTAATTAGGGTTTCGGATGAGGAAACAGGAATAATGATTAAATCCAAATTTTGAAAATTTTCAATTAGGTCTCTCAATTCCTAATTGCATGCAATTTAGTCCTTAACTATTTTTGATTCATTTCATTTGAACTTGTAAAGTTTAAATTAAATCAATTAGGCCCTCTAATCTTTTAATTAAGTTCCCAAATTTTTTATTTCTATCAATTAAGTTCCTAAATTATCCAAATTTTTCAAGTAACCCCCAAATTGAGGTATTACAGGATTTTATAGTACGAGTAGTCCTGGTGTACTCCTAATTAGTTTAATCATTTTTGTTGCAGCTGGTAGAAGTCATCATATGAATAAAGTACAGTTGAAAATTGTTGCCTTAAAAGTACAAGTAATATCTAGATTGTGTTTTTACTTGTCATGTATATATGTGTGTTTGTTTATGTTCATTTGGAGTTAATTAATTTGAATATGTGCTTAAAGAAATTAATTTCTTAATCATATTTATTTTTATGTTGATTTTCTTCTCTAATAAATGCTATTTTGCAAATAGAGGCTTCATTCCTTGTATTATAGGGGTTAAATAAGCATTAATGGAAATTTGAAATAAAGAATTAAGGCTTCCAAATGCCCTTTTTCTTAAGAGTCAGAAGTTACCTAGTAATTAGTGGAAAATGAGAAATATATATTTAATTTATAAGATTATTTCTAAGGCTGGTTAAAAGAAGAGGTTTACAAGCAAAATTTAGGGGTTAGTACGTTTACGTACTGCTTTAGTATTAATTAATGATTTTGGGTGCATGCATTGTGTATTTTATAAATCTAAGTATTTTCTTTTTAACAAATATATGTTTGTGAATTGGTCAAACTTTTTTAAAATGCATGCTAAGACAATACATACATACATACATACATACATACATACATATATATGGGAACTATTTATTGTATTTAAATATCATTAAGCGAAAAATGCAATAAATATCTCATTTCTTTTTATTTTATTTTTTAAATTTTTGAGCGTGATATCTCATAATATAAAAAATTATTGAGAGTTAGCATTCAATAATTTGAATTTAAATATTTTAAAGTTATAGTTCAAATTCAACAAATTGTTTGGTTTAATAACTTTCAAGTCGTTATAAATAATATAAAAACAACTAATACTCATATTATTTTATTTATATTCTATTTGGATATGATAAATTTGTGACTCAACAAAAATGTTGAGTATTTTTGGATACAATAAATTTGTGGCTTGGCAAAAATGTTAAATATTTAAATAAATGAGATTATGATATCTCAACCAGCAATTCTCAACTTGTTACAAAAATTTTTAAAAAAATATATTTATTTTAGACAGCTTATTCTAGAAAATTATTATTTTTTATAATTTATATAGTGAAATAATAAATAAAATGGAAGAATTAAATAGAAATTGAGAAATATCTGCACGGGTTGAACGATGATCTTTTAGGTGAAAAGAAATGGAAGTTGGGGCAAAGCAACATGTTATGATGTTGCCGTCGGTGGGGGGTGGGGTGGTGGTGACAGACGAAGGAAAACAAAAAGGGCTCGTCAAAGTAATTGCATAAATGTAAAGGAGATCCACAGCTGTACTTTTTCTACGTATTCCTGTGAAAATCTTTGCGTGGTTTCCCGCACCGAAAGGTCATTGTGTTCACATGTTTCCCTCTTCTCTTATTACCAATAATAATAATGATAAATAATAATAAGAAAGAGGAGAAGTAGAAGAAGAAGGAGAAGGAGAAGGAGAAGAAGAAGAGGAGGAGAGAGCCTGTGAGGCAAGAACTAAACCCATTTGGTAGAATTAGCAAGAGTTTCGTGACACTATGCCATTCACTTAAATATATGTGGCTATTATTCTTCTTACTCCACCACAAAAAAGTGTCGTCCTATCTTAATTAGCTACGACCCAATAACAAGCTAAACTTACCCTCGAAAAAAAAAAACAAAAGAAAAAACTAATGGGTCCATTTCCCTATTTGTCACGTTACATCAAGTCTAGAAATTTATTATTGCACCAACAACTCTATCTTCAACTTCGGGCATGCATACCCATAAATTGCCTCAGATTCAATAGTAATTCTGTGAGTCACAAGGCTGGATTTCGCTGGGTTTGAATAGTACTCCCATTAATTGCAATTGAACTTTACATTTTTCATTTACTGAACGAAGTTGATATAATTTTCAATTCTCAGCCCATATTTCAGAAAATATTTTCGAAGAAAGTAGAAAACATACAAGCTAAAAGCATTTTTAGCCTTATTTTCTATAGAAAACAGACAAACAGTACTACTAATTAATCTACTTTTTGTATACATGACAAAGGATGAGGAAGGGATGTCTGCAATGCCTAGCATTTTTTGAGTAAAAATGATCAGACTGATAGGGTGAAATGATGAACAGCTACTGCTATATGCTTAATTTCAGTAAGGTTCACATACGAACAAATTTATGAAAAACCCAGAAAAAAAAGTCAAAAAGATAAAGGATGAATATGGAAGAATATAAATTAGTGCGAATGATTCATTAATTTTAGTAATATAATCAACAAGTCATGCTTTACATTTTGCAAGAGATTCCAACTTTTTAGAACCCCCACACAAATGAGATATAGATTATGACTGGTCTAATTAAGCAGATCAAACACACAAATACAATTTCCACTTTATTGGTTAACTTTTCGTCATTCAATTGGAAGCTAAAACGGAGGGTGGGGGGAGGGAACTTTCGATTTATCAGAAGATTGGAGGCAACTCCATCATTTCTTCCACTTGAGTAGCGTTAGTTTCACCCAAGAGCCAATTTTCAAGAGATTCCAACTCTTCATTTGGTCCTAAATGACTGCCTTCTTGCCCGGATTTGGACTGTCGGTGGTGGCTTGGAAGCAAATGATCCGTCACTGCACAGCATACAATATTGCTGCTGTTGCTTTGGTGGACCGGTACTAGTTTGTCTTGAGTACTAGTATGAATGAAGAAGCATTATTATTGGTATCATGATTATTTGTTGACTTTGGGGAAGATCTCATCCAACCTTCTAGGAGGCGTGATATGTTCTCAGTGCTTGAGGCGTAACTTGAAGAAGCCACCACCTGGTTGAGATTGGAGGCATGGCTGCTAATGATACTAGGACTAGTCATATGATCTGAGGAGGTTGTACTTCTGAGCGCGTCACTCAAGCTCTTTGATGATACGAGCTGGTAGGTTGCAGAATTGGACACCGTTTGCGGGTCGAGAGATGACTGGAGTTTCTTCATCTTCTTCTTCAAGTGGTGTTCCAATAGTTCTTTATGTCATTATCTGTTCTCTGTGGGAGATAGGAAGCTATGGCTGCCCATCTGCAACCAACCCAACATACAGGTTCAGAGACCTCATGCATAAATCCAGTTACAATTAACAAGCTAAGGGAACAGTATATATGTATGACCCTAATTAATTGATTTAATATACTAATATGGTTGAATATAAATTAGCAGGTGAGTTTCAAAAACAATTACTTGTTACCCAGAAGAGCCTGCAAGTGGATGATCAAGCCTTCTTCGTGAGGGGTGAAGTTGCCTCTCTTGATTCCAGGTCTCAGATAATTAGTCCATCTAAGCCTGCAACTCTTGCTGCACCTTAACAACCCTTTTTGAAACAACGCCATGAGGATTTGATGAGAACTCAAGGAACCGAAACACTTAACAAATTAAGAAAACACAAAGATGTATATAGATAGAGAAGACATAAAGTTGAAGTAGCCACTGCCGATTACCTGTATTGGTAGGAACAGATCTCCAATTACCAGGGCCGTGTTCCTGGATGTAAGTGACCAATATAATGTCTTCTTCAGGGGTCCATGGGCCTTTCTTTACACCAACTTTGTCGCAGCAAGGAGGCCTTCCCATTCCTTAGTAAAATTTCCTTGCTTCATTCACTACTCTCTCTCTCTCTCTCTCTGTGTTTGAACTGGGAGTGGGCTTGTATATATCAAGTCTTCTTAAATAGTCATACGATGGCATGAACATGTGACTGCTATTACATACACAAATAAGCACAAAGGTTACCTAAGGGGACGAGAACAGGAAAGCAAGATAGGCCTACCTCTTTCTTCAACCATTATTAGTTTATATTTAAAACACCAGTTATCTGTACGGCAACTAAAGTCCAGAGGCAGGAAAAAAGAAACCCAAGTTGAATGCCCTGTGTTTTTCTCCCCAAGGAGTCACGTGCCAGAGCAGTTATCACCACCATAACAGGAAACTTTTGCATTGCCAGAGTCTTCACTTGTATTCTCCTGAACCTCTTACTTACTTGCAATTACATTGTTTATGTAGGTCCCCCACATCTGTCTTATCTTTACCCTTCATTTAATACCATCTTCTCAAATGTCTCCTCACAAATCCTAGTTCAATTTTCGCCAAATATACTCACTATTAGGGTCTACCTGATGCCGTTTGGTTCATATTGAGAACTCAAGTACAGATCAATTATATTTTATAGTTTATAATTTTTAAAAATTAAATTGAATTAGAGGTCATAACTTGGTTTAATTTCAAATCATTATTTATTATTTTTACAAAAATTTTGACAAAATTTTTCCTAAAAATGAACATCCAAAAGTTTTCTTAAATCTGTTTAAATCAATTTTGTCATTATCAACTAAGTAAAACAGTTATAGATTATATAGTAAACATATTTATACAATGTAATGAAACTTAAATTCGTACTGAATGATATCACTGTTAAGAAAAAAATCAGTAGTCAAAAGAAAATCTATATATATACATATAATTTAAAAAGAATAGAAAGTAGCATACAGTGAAATAGAAAAGATAAAGTATATATATAAACATGTAATTTTTAATTACAAAAGCTATTCGATTGGAGACGATTTATACAATGTATTTAATGATTAAACCGTAAACCAAACCATTCCCCTTATAAATCAAATCAAGCTAAACTACAATTTAATTATTTTGTGCGATTTGATTCTTTTTGTTAAACACACCTGCTCACTGTATAATATCTAAAATATACAAAAATAAAATTTATCTTCTCCATTGTCAGTAAACGGGTATAGACTTGATCATATAATTTGGCAATCTGATATTCCAACTTTTATTTTGTACAATTTAATCCTCAACTTTTCATTTCTTATGAAATGAGGATACTTTATGAGACGGTTATCATCTGCTGTCACTAAGGCCTTGCAAATAGGTGTATTAGTTCTCACACAGTTTAGGTTTTGAGTGGTGTTTCCACTTGATCGTTGTAAATAGTGTAACCTTCTCAAAAGCTAGGTATATTAAGATCCTTAAGAACATGTACGATGAATTGACTAAATATTGTTGTGATTGAAAAATCTCATGATTTTTTAAATAATAATCAATGTTGTCTTAATAGTTGAAATCAAAAAATTAGGATAAAATCATAACTTAGATATTTTAGAAGAAACCTTGCAATAAAGGAGGTTGTAGAATCAAAATCAGAAACATGAAGTTCAACTGGTAAAACAAAGATGTAAATGAAGTTAGTATTGAAGACCTAAAAATACCAAAGAGTGAGCAATTTTAACAGTACGTAGGAAGATTTTCAGGAGTTGTTAGAATATGGGGTTACTTTGAAACACAATTTATCCCGGCAGTGAATCATTTGGCAAACAAAAATGGTATTTGTATCGATCTTACTTATATTAATGCGTGTGTTTCAGTGTTTAAATTTATTATATCAATAAAACAAGTTGAATTGAAGAATCTTTCCAAGCTTAAAAATAATGTTTGAAATGGGCTCGGTAGCCCAAACCGGGCACAAATCCCATCTCGGTACCTTGGTACGCATCCCGAGGAATCACTACGCATCACCGAGACTCACACAACTCACTAACACTAACCAATTTTACTCAACCATCCTCAACAATGGTGAAACAACCTTCAAAACTCTTAAACCATAGTGAACTAACCTCCAAAACCCTCGAATCGGCCTAAACTGGTCTAAAACTACCTCAAACCGAACTAAACCGGCCACGAAACCCTCAAAATCATATTCCAAAGACCCAAAACCTTTGGAACTGGTCCAACTTCAAGATTCCAAAATAAAAAGACCACGAAACCAGCTGGTCAAATCTACTGGCCAGTTCAGTCAACCCCCCTTTTTTTGAGCCGCTAGGCTTGGCTTGGCTTGGCTCATTGGCTCGAGCCCCCCGACTTGGGCCTAGCCCAAGCTTCTTCTCTCTCTCTCTCTTTTTTTTTTGGCAGGCCTGCAGCCTACGGCACAATTGGGCTAAGTCCGGGCCTAACGGCCCGAACCAACCCTACACGGGGACCCAAATCATCCAAGTTCCTTTGTCTCTACCTTGCAACACAGACCAAATTGCCCAATCAGGCCTATAGCAGACCCGACACAAGAAACTAGAAGAAAGGGAAGAAAAATTGATACGTACTGACTTCCAATCTCGATCCAAAGTTCTGAACACTGAAATTGAGTCCGACAAAGCCACCTTCAATCTTTAATCAAAGAAAAATCAAATGAAAAGCCCCAAAAACCCAAAAAAACCCCGTTTGATCATGAACCACTCCACCGAACCCAAAACCGGTCCAAAACCTCCCAATCTCTCACTAGATTCTTGAAATTTCTTGGGGAAACGTTCACACAGGCCTAAACCACGCCCTTATGTGATTTTTAAGCCAAATCTAGCTTCAATCGAGGACAATGATGGATCTACAATTTGGATCACTGTAGATCTATTCTTCTAGTCCTGTCACAGTCTAGTCTTCCAGACTTTATTTTCTTTCAATTCTGTCCCTTCCAGATTTTTCAATTGGTCCCCTTTCTTTTAATTTGTGCACTTTGGCCGTTAAACTTTCCAATTTCTCCCATCAGCTCCCAAACTTTAAATTGCTGCACTTAATCCCTCCCAAATTCCTATTTGATCCCTGAAACTTCTAAATTTTGCGATTAAGCCCTTAATCCCAATTAAATTGACATTGAATCATTACAAAGAAGAGCAAAAGATTTTGAAGAGTTTGAGGAATTGAATGAAAGATATTCATACTAAGCTCCAAATGTTTGAACACTTTAAAACATGTAGATTCAAGTGAAACATCAAGTAAAGCTTCAAATAAAAAAGAAAGAAGAACAAAAGATCTTGAAGAGTTTGAGGAAATGAATGAAAGATATTTGTACTAAGCTTGAAAATGACAAAGGATCGCTAGAAACTTGCAATATAGTGCACAATCAAGTGAATCTTGTAAAACTAAAATGAAGTACTTGTACTTGTTCTCTAATATTTTTAGATACAAATGATATAAATATTTTTAATGTAACAAGAAGGTGTGATATCTATGTCAGAATAGTACTCTAAAGCCCCAGTTGATTTGATTTTATTGTTTGTATTTTATTTGATTGTAAAACAGTCTAATTCATATATAATTCATGTTTTATATAAAATGGTCACCTTCATCATATATATATATATATATATATATAGATGAAACCTTAAAATCACACAAGACTATGGGACTAAATCACATAAAAGGTGGCAATTATAAAATTAATCTCTATGATCATGATCTAAAAGAAGTTCAAGGTCAAAGGATCTGTCAAGACAATGTATCAATAAGATTTAGTTAGACTTGCGATCGAATTAAATGCTCATGGGATGAGTACACCTCATTTCGTGGTTGTTGGTGTATCAACACTAGTGTGCACATCTAAGTGCTCATCAGAGTATGAGTTCATTGAAACCTGTCTACAAAAATCCATCAAAGTCAGTGATAGATATCCTTTATATTTATGCTAATGTAGTATATCATCCTTGGACTTAAGGTTCTTCAATAGTCTTGCATATGTGAGCTTATATTATGATGTATTTCTACTGACCTTATCTGCAATGGAGGGTCACAAATAGATGTATGCCAAATATATGATGTCCGTGCCTAGAAATTGGCAGGAATGGTCTTAAGTAGATGAGAAGTCTCCTATCTATGAGTTGTTAGAGTATCAAAATTCTTGCAGGGCAAATAATAGATTATCGAGAAAAGAGTTCCACTAGATTGATCATTGTATTGACAAGCTCAGATAGAGACATAATTATTAGGACTGAAGGAATGTCGACAGTTTATTACATCATAATAGGGGTGTTCAAACCGAATCGGACCAAATGGACCAATCCAAACCGAACCAAACTGACCAAAAATCGAATAAAACCAAAGAGAATCGGTTTAATTCAGTTTTGGAACCCCTTAGACTAATCAGTTCGGTTCAGTTTTCGGTTTTG